GTTATATTTACGTATTTCATCTGTGATATTACACAATTTTTTTACAAATTATCTAGAGCAAATCTGATGATATGGTAACCGAAGAATTAAACAAAATCGTTTTATAAAGGAGGCGACAAACGTGAACGCACGTGTCCCTCGACACATATCGGTTTCGAGACTATCCCAGGTTAACGACATCATCCGGTGCTCTTCAGGGCGTGTCCAGACTCGTTTTCTTTTTTCTCGTACCGTAATACGCCAAGAAAAAAAAAAAAAAAAAAAAAAACAGACGGGACGAAGGCGGCAGGAAAGGAGGAGATGGAGCAACCCCCGTGAGCGCAAGTCGCTGATTAACCCTACGGTCGACAGACGCTACGTTCCCCCCCAAGGAGGTGATCGAAGCGTCTTCATTTCCTGATTAACTCGCCGAGCCGCTCGTACGTTCCGAGAGAGAAGCGCAACCGGAAGTAATCCGTCTTCCTCTCCACGCATTCTCGCGGGATCGAGAGGGAGAGAATAAAGCGGAGAGAAAAGCAACGCGAAAAAAAGAGAGAGAGAAGGAATGCAAATTCGCGCTTAGAATGATTTAAAGTTTAAATATTGGAGTTATTCTTTCGCCTTTCGATTTTTCTTACCCCCCTCCTCTATCCCCCTTCTCTTCTATCCCTCCTTCTACAAACCATTCGTTTTATTCTCCTGCGTCTCTATCGAATCTTCCTTATGATGCTTTTCTTTGTCTCTTATCAGAAAAACAATCAGATTTGCTAGATTTCTAACAATACAATCGTTTATAAAGAATGAAGAAACCAGTGAAACCGATCGATGCTAAGATTGTTTCGATAATCTTGCAAGTCGGTGTTAATGAGCATCCACATGCATAACACGTTGCGCATTACAGCATTAAAATGCAAGACGATGACAGCGAGCGTGAATTATTATGCATTTGTCGGTTTATCGAGGAAAATTTAAAGATCTATTCAAGCGAAATGATTTTTCAGATCTACATGTCTGTTAATACAATACCAATTTTGCAATTATGTTAATGTTGATGCTAATGTGGCGTGACATCATTCACGACATTATAAATATGTATATATCTATAATATATCTATAATGTATATACATCTATTAGTATGTCAAATGTTATAACGAAAATATATGTATGCAATTTTATATATATAGTTGCAAATTAAAATAACAAAGAATTTCAAAAGAAATAAATTATAAGCAATATTTAAATACCTTTTAAAAATTCGAGCTAATAAACGCTGTATTTTAACCAATCAGCCGAAATCGGATGCGATTTTACGACGTTATAATTACATACCGAGCATTTTCGCATAATTTACATTCGGCGACAATTCGTAATTTCACTTTATCTGATTACGTGGCCGACTTATCGCTCGAGAACCTCGCGCTCGACGCAATAAAATAATTTCCATCGTCCTTCTCTCTCTCTCTCTCTCTTTCTCTTTCTCTCTAATCTCTCTTTCTCTGCACGTTGGCACACTTCTTACACGTGCGATAACGATTTTATCTGATAACGCGCTTTACATTTCGGCGAATCGGTACGACGTTTGTTGACCGGAGTTCGCTAACCAGAGCAGGAAGTATGCGATGACTTTCGCGGAAACTGCCGAGACGGCCTCGGACGCATGCGATTAATCTTCCCTTACACTCTCTTTCTTTTTCTCTCTCTAAAGATCAAAATTATACAGAGATAGAGCACGCTACATAATTATCTCATTAGATTATTTCTAGCATATCATCTATTCTAGATTTCCTCCTGAAATCATTATTTTATTCTTTTCTTTTTTTTATCGTATTTTACTTTATCCTGTTCTTGTGTATTTTTGTTAAATCTCTTCTTGCAAGCTTAAACTTTAATTAAAATTATATATAGTATTATATTAAAGAGGTTTTATAAAAATAAACTGAAAGAGAATATATAACACATTATAATGCATAATCAGAAGCGTGGTAACGACTTTGTTCTAAAAATGATTTTGGCTACCAGTGTAACAAATTTATAATCTGTATTGGCTACCTGTGATACATGAAAGCTTAGAAAGAATTCTCGAGAGGAAAAGATGACACACATTATGATCCCAAAAAATTACAATGAATGTCAAACAATGTAGTAGAGAGTGGATAATCGGAAGCGTGACATGACTTTGTGTCGGAAATGATTTTAGCTACCGATGTAAACACAAATTTATAATCTGTACTGGCTACCTGACACGTGAAAGCTACCGAAGCTTTCTACCGAACGAATAGAAGAAAGGGCAGAAAAACAACGGGAATCAAAAAGGCGGCAGAAAAACAGGAGGAAATCTCGAGCTATTACGTTTGTGTGCGCCTGCACTTTGCATCTATCCCCTTTTGTGTCACCTTCTGCCTTCCCCTTGGCTTTCTCCGATGATTTTTTATGCCGGAACAGGGTATAACGAGAGCGAGAAACGATGACGCATTGTTTGTATATTCTCGCTTTTCGTCTGTCGTTCCCGGCAAGGGTTCGACAGGAAAAGGGTTCATTAGGAAAACGGTACTTTTTCTAAAAAGGATCTCCAGCTTTTTTCTCTTCGGCGCTGAACAAAAAAAAAACTACGAGTAATAAAAAGTCACATTTAGATGCAGCGGCAGATCCGGATGCTTTCCTTTCTTTTTTTTTTTTTTCACATACATGCGCGAGCGCGATAAAACGCTACGATTTCCTTGGGTTAACTATTTAAAACTCCGCGAGCTCGATGATGGTCGGATCCATTAATCGCGCTTCTGTAAAACGTTAAGTAGAGCGACTCAACTTGGAGATAATTAAATTGACAAATTTCACCATTTCTCTCCTTTTATCTCCCGTCGGGAAAAGTATTTATTTTTTAAGAAACTTGCAGTGTGCCGCTGGGACAAAAGGTAGGCGTCCGTGTAATGAATCATATAATAGGACTGAATTGACAAAAAGGATAAAGGGTATGTTGAAAAATGAAGTTTTATTTTCCTGTTGTTCAAGGAATTTGCCGTTAACGTACAACAAAATAAAAAGACGATGGAATACCATTTTTGTCATTCTCCGAAAGGGTTAAGAATGTTTCCATTATATTGCTGCATCGTTTCCGCTGAGATTTTTCGTTAAACAAAATAAAATTTTCGTTTCACAAAATTATAAAAATCTCTAAATGAAATTTTAGATGAAGGCGAAGAAACAAATCAATGAAGTTCGAGACGCAATAAAATAATATAAAAATATAACACGAGAAATATAACAAGAAAATAAGATAATACATTAACAAATAAATTTTAAAAATGCAGACAAAGAACAAAATCTTCATCTTCATTTAATTTTACGTAAAGAAAAAGAGATAGAGAGAGAGAGAGAGATTTTACCCTAAAAATATATATAATAATATTATAATTGGAAAGAGAGGGAAAACGTATAATATCTTCTCAACAACTTTATTTAAAAAGGTAGAAATTAATCATTTAACATTAATTTAAGCAAAAAACTTATGTTTGATATATTTAAAACTGTTGAAAACGATTAGATTCTCTTTCCAACTCTTATTATTATTAAAAAAAGCTAACAGGAAGATATAGCAGCATCCAAAAACACGTTTTTGCCATTATTTTTATTTTTCCGAGACTTGTTTGTATATAAAACGACGTCCGGTGTATCCAAGAAACAATGCCGAATCTGGATCGAGAAGACGATAGGGAGTCGAGAGAGAGAGAGACAGAGAGAGAGAGAGAGAGACAGAGAGAGAGAGAGAGATTGAACGAGTCGTACGAGCGATACGCGAGAAGCTTTAATTTCGTTGGGGTTGGGGCAGGTCACAAGGTATTATCTGACCGGGCGCGAGAAAGAGAGAGAGAGAGGAGACGGTCTCACGATGTGATAACGATTGCGGGACCCGATTACACGAAACGGGTCGACGAATATCTCGATCCCGCCGCCGTCGCTTTGCGAAACGACCTTCGACGGCGCGACTTGCGTAATATTTTTATCGGCCAAAATTACGCACTGGCCCGGCGCATATGCGTGCGCACCATATGACATACGCACCGGATCATACACGGTACGAACTGCGTTTCGACGCAAAATACGAGCAGCGTAGGAGTTGCTTTTCAGGCCACAATATATATATAACGGAAAAAGAAGAAAAGGGAATATTTTATTATCCTCTCTAAGCAGCATCCCCTTTGTCGCTCGTTTGTAAATTTTGTCACATTCGAAATTAGCAATTAAAAAAATGTGCGCTAAATTGAGTTGCAATGACACATTAGCCACCTTATCATAAAAATTTCTTTTCACGTCACAATATATATAGCGGAAAGAAGAGGAAAGAAAATATTTTATTATCCTTTCTAAGAAAAGGAGCGTCCGCTTTGTTGCTCGTTCGAATGATCTTCGGTTTGATTTTGTTAGATTCGAAATTAGCAATTAAAAAAATATGCGCTAAACTGAATTGCGATGACACATTAGCCACCTTATCGTAGGAATGACACATTGATAAATGACACATATGACGGTCGTGAATTGCGTATGAATTGTACGGCAACCTGAGAAAATTTTTACCGTTAGATCTCGAAGTAAACAATCAATATATTGCGATTAATATGTATGAAGATATTTGCGTCGATATTAAATGATAATCTTGCGACGATTAATCCTTTTTAATTCAACTCGCCGAGCAAATCAAAATAAAATTTTTTTTCTTAAACGCTATAACATCTTTATGACAATATTTTATCTCGCGCGATTCAAAGTGAACTAGAAAATCTTTTTCTAATATATAAGTTTCAAAATTTTGGCAGCAATGACATCTCCTTTTTTTTTTCGAAAGTTAATCAAATTCATTTATTTGCTCTAGTAAAGAGTACCTAAAAGCGGCAAAATACTAAAGCAACAGGAGCTCGAAAATCTAAAACGACTCTCTCGTCGAAACATGTGATGGAAAATTTCCGGGAACGATAAGGGAGGCGAAACGCGCGTGTCCTTCGAATAACGAGTCTCCAAGACTTACGGTATCGTTTGATGAGGTTCTTCTTGTAGGGTTTGGTGCCGGGCGGCCTGGACCGCGACCTCGCGCCGCCGTTCTTCTGATTGTTGTCGGAGCACGAGTCGTCCGAGTCCTCGGAGCAGGTGCGATCCTCCCGCTCCTGGCCGTACTCGGACGCGGCGGCGAAGCATCCGCGGAGCCTGAGCGCGGCCGCGGCCGCGCGATTACCGTAATCGTCGACGGACAGATCCTTGCGCTCCCGCTGATCCGGCCCGTCGTCCCGATCCTCCCTGGCAAGATCCTCCGCGTAATCGCCGACGCGGACGCTCAGATCCAACGGCTGATCCTCGAGCATGATTCCTCGTGGCACTCGAGGTGTCAACAGACTCGACGCTCTTCCTCTCTTCCTCCCAAATTCCTTCGATAGATCCTCCCTGCGCGCGCACACTACCAGGACACTTGGTACGGCATCTCGTAATCCTTTCACGAACGCGTGTTATGCACTTTCCGAAGCGAATTTTTACGACATTGCACTCGCCGGGGATTTCCCCGTACGGACGGCGCACGACGGACGTGTCCTTGGAATCGTATCTCGAACCTCCTCTTCTCTTCTCGCGAGATGTTCGTCCTCTCCTCGCTTGCTCTCGAGACCGACGAGAGACGCGGACGCGTCTCACTTCCGGCTTAACCGGCAATCGAAGGTCCGATTATCCACGTCGAGCCGAGATAGAACGTAGCTGCGGAAACGAGCGTGTACGATTTCGCGAGGGAGAAAGGACGGAGAAGGATCCTCGAAAACACGGTGCGTGTATACTTTGCTTTTCCGAGATACCGCGCGCGAGATTGCGCGTCCGCGTTTCCGATGACTCAACACCCGTTCACTTATCCGAGCGCTCTCACCTCTCGCGGAACGTTCACTGACGCGGTAAAAGTCAGCCTCGACGATGACAGCCGGAAAAGGCTGACGCGCGCGAAGAAGAGGTTTACGACTCGCTCGATCACTTATTACTCGTCACTATTACTCGAATACGCGAATCGACGAAATATACCACGCGGTATATCCGCAGATATACTCTCTCGCCCTCCGAAGATCTCCGAAAAGGGGAGAGACGAGAAGAATGAAAAAAAAAAAAAACGAAAGAGGAGAGACGGGGGACGCGCGATCGACCTGCCGGAGCGTAACCGCGTTCTCCTGCACCGAGGCTACGGTCGCCGGTGGCACACTGACTGACTCGGAACCGGGGTAGCCCGCTAGTCCAGACTCTCGCGCGCGTTCACTACTTCTTCAGACTCTCACACTCCAACTCCGCGCGCCGGACTCACTCTCGCTCGCGCACGTCGCCGCTCCGCGTCGCGCTCTTCGGGGCGCCCGACCGCCGACCGACGCGCTCGGCTGTCTTCGTCGCGCCGCTTCGGCCGCGCTCGGCGCAGCCGTCCGTCCGCGCCGCTCTTCGCCAAGAGAGGCACCAGTCGGCGATGCGGCGCGGCGGCTGTCACACGCGTATGCGTCAACAACACGCGGTACCATTACACATGCGGCGCGACGCAACGCGCGGGATATGCGTAGCCTACCGCAATGTCGGATCCCGTGACGCCCTCCCTTGCCGAGGCAACGACGGCCTGGTCCCGCTTGGCCTCTAATAATAAATGTCTCTCTTTTTTTTTTTTCTCTTTCTCTCTCTCTGTCCTCTCTGCTTTATTCGCTTCTTCGCTCTTTATCGTTCCTCATCTCGCGAGGGAAAGCTATTTTTCCGTCTATTGGGATAGGACACTTAACCGAAAGCGAATCGCAACGAATTGTTGCTGACGCACCCGTGCCTCGCGTGACATTAACCTTCGATCGTCGGGAAATACGAGTAGTTTTGGATCTCAAAATAAGCTGGAAATAAAACAAGTGAGGCGAATAAACAGAGGCGCCTAACGCGCTCCCGAGAATAAAGCATCGAGCGCGCGTAAAATAATATTGGAATAAATGACAGATATATAATAGTTGAGAGTATACGTATAAATGCCAATTGTAAATATAACTAATAGTATGTGCGTATAAATAGTATAAATAACATTTCTGCAATTTTATTTGCGGAAATTGTCGGAATATGATCATTTCTTTACGCACGCAAAAAAATCTAAAAATATAGTAAATATAGTAAATCTTATAATATTGATGAATAAATTTTTAATTTGTATCAAGATATTTAATGCTAAAAATTAAATAATAGAGTTATTAGATAAAATTGTAGAATACAATTACTAGATAAAATTAAATAATAGATTATTAGAATTATTAAGATAAAAATGAAAAAATTGAGGATGGAGACTCTGAGATTGTTAAAGTATCTACCTCTCCGGTGGGATATCTAACTTTGCATGAGAAAATTCGTTATCTCATTCTTCAACAAAAAAATGCAATCGTGTCTCATCGCAAACGTCGCATCGCCAAGCAGAAAATTCGATCCCATGGTTCGCTCTCTCTCTTTCTCTCTCGGCCCACGAGGGCCCCTGACATTGTTTCCGCCTTGATGCGCGGGTCCGTCCGTCGCAGGGAAGGAGAAGGCGCGAGCACGCACGGGAATGCTAGTGCGCGGCTCTTCGCGGTATAGGTGAACGTGCGTGGCCGAGGTCGCCGGGAGAAGGAACTCTCTTCCTTCCAATCCGGAGAGTCGGCCGCGCTGCAGCCGGTAAACACAGGTGCAACTACGTTGCTCTCGAGCGAGTGATACGCGATTCGAATTTCGAAGCGGTGACGTTTCGTAATTCGCGTCGCGCCGCGCCGGTCGACTCACCTTTCCTTCACCAAAAAGGCGGCCGTATGTAGGCGCTGTGGCTCTTAATCCTTTCTCTCCGTGTAGGAAAGAAAGAGAGAGAGAGAGAGAGAGAGAAATCAATTTAATATTAGTTTCCGAGAAGCACACAAGTGAACATATATATACATCGCGATGGTCGAAATAAATTTAATTTTTGCTTTGAGGAGGAGGCATCTGATGTTTCGATGATATCCGCGAATATGTTCGCTGCTTTGTCTATTATACTTCAATGAATTGCTTCAAATTGTAAATCGCATGCAAGGAGATTCCAATTAAATACTAATAATTAAATATAATAATAATAATTAAACTATAATAATAATAATTTTTAAAATGCAATCCATTCATTACACTTTCTATGTTCCTGAACACAGTATGATTTCACGTGGCGACGACGATCGGTATCGTACATGTATAATGTTCGTTCGGATTATCAGCCGCTTATCGGTCGCCTATCTCTTGTTCTCGAGCGACACCAAGTATTCGCGTACTCGTGCGTAGCACGAGGGAGGCCCGAGAACCCCCCCAGGCGAGCGAGAAAAGCGCGTTATATCGGGATGCTCGATAGATCACGATAGAGACCGCAGAATTATTGGCTCGTCGACTGGCATCGCGATCTCGTTGCCCCTCGGGAGGGGTATATGTATAACCGAGACAACGAAAGAAACGCTCGCTTCTCAGAACGCATCGCGTCATTGTCAAAAGATTTCCTCAACGAGGACACTGTTCCTCATCGATGACGTCGCGCGACATCCAAACAAGTCCTCGTCAGCACCGCCGTCTTGTAAAAAAGATAAATGTACAAGCGGTCGAATAAATCGCATTAAAATTTGAATGCTGGAGAGAATCAAAAATAAAATATAGAGATGAAATTATGATTGGCAAATAGACGAAAAAATTTATTTCAACTACAATCAGCTGATTTATATTCTTCTAAGTAATTTTCACATATAATTTTGAAATATCTGTGCTCTCCATGTTTATTCTTTTTAAACATTTTTTTTTTATCTTACGCGACTCATCGTAATTTAACGACTAAGTCTAAAATATCACGTCCCAGAGGAACGATCAATAGGAATAAACGATTTTGTGGTAACCCGGAGAATTAGTCGATTCTGTGATCAATTCCTTAAATAAAAATCCAATCCCAGCCGCATATGTTGTTACTATAAATAAAAGCACTATGCGCCACTTCGTATCAAGAGCCAAAATTTCATTTTGTAATATTTCGGCAAATGTAAAAAGTCGTCAATTAATTTAACATTGTTAATACATGATCGAGAGTTCTTTAAATAAAATAAATTATTGGAATATTGGATTCTTTTGTACGAGAAGCTTCTCCCTTTAGCTATTAAATTATGTACAGATCTAAAAAATCGCGAATGATTATGAAATGATGATTTATGCACGATTAAAAATAAACACGCATCAATATAAATAATTACAAAGCACTGATCTCGAAGATTAATGACTTGAAAGCATACATTCTCCTCTCTTTTTTCTCGAGTGTTTGATATTAAATGTTAAAGCAAAAAATTGACACAAATGATACAATGTCTAACAATAAGTCTGAAAGCATTGCATCGCGATCGACGAGGAGAAATCTTGTAGAGAAGCGTAGAAAAGCTAGAGAGCAAGTGACATTTTCCGATACTTGTCGGCGCGGTGTCTTCCTTAGAGGATGAATTCATCGATCGAGCCGCGAGTCGTACCGCCGTTATATCGGACACGAGAAATAGTTTGAAAGTTTTATCGCGGTTTACGCAGCATGGAGTACGATGCTGTCCGCGCGAGAGTACGTGACAAATCGTCCTTACATTACAGAGATCGATCAACGTTCGATCTCTGCAAATGTGCGTTATCGCAATCCATTCGACATGTTCAGCCCGATATGCTCGGATGTCTCGGAATTCGAGAACTATGTTTATAGAAAACTTTCAGAAAACGCATTGTCTTTTTAGCGTTTTCAATAGCATACAGCATATGAAGATATTATTTTAGTGATATAAAATATACCATATATTTTATATGTATATTAAAAAAGCAATTTTTTTTATATTTTTGAAGTTAAATACCTACGTAATTAAAACTCAATTAAAAGCGAAATAAAAAATTTAAATAAATGAAATTTTAAAACATTCTTGGACCTATCTCGTACAATTATCAGAAGCGGAATCGTCTCAAAGGAGTGACATTTGAGTTTTTACGACGCGAAACGAATTTCTGCGCCACGATGGCGGGAGACATCTGCATTAAAGGGTCCTGCATGCGTATAGAGAGAGAAAGACACTGATGTTAGTATCCTCGATTTGTCGTTCCTCCGTGGGGCAGAGCTACCACGTCGACGGGGGACCGAGTTATTTTAGCGCAAAAACGGCTGCCGGCCCCGGGAGAGAAAATCTCGTAACTCTCGTCGATCACAAAACAACGCCCGATCCAGGAAAACTGCGATTTCGAAACCGTTATTACTACTTGTTTATCTATTTAATTTGACTCATTGTATTGTTTAACAATAGATGCACTCGCACGACTATCCTCCACGATTTTTTGACAATTTTTTTTATATGTTGCGTAAAGTATTCGAAGCAATATATGGAAATATATTACTTATTAACTCTACTAACTCTTATTCTATTGCACACGTTAACAACTTCTTGATGTTGATTCGACACATTTGATTCCGACTTCAAAATTGAAAGTATTATAATATTGAAAATATTTCGCGAACATTTTCGCGTGTCTGTCAGAGTTTATGAATAACTTCAAACATTCTAAAAATATCATTCTTTACAACTATGCATGTGTTAAATCTCAGAAATCATTTGGAAGGAAATAGCACATAGGATTTTCGCCTACATTAAATAGTTTGAAATATTAATTCCGGATGAAAATCTACATTTCATGTGATAAATAGTGCAACATCACTTTCTTTGTTATTTCATTTATTATAAAATGTAAATTATCATTTAAAACAATGTTTCAAACCAGCGTCATACAATGTTACTCAAAGGTTTCAATGAAATTCAAAAATATTTTTCTGGATTCTACTATAAAACGGTCATATCATGCATTCGCCGATGATACGCTCGGCTTTAATAAAACGCCGCGGAAGAATGGCCGCACTTATTTTTCACCGGCTAATTCGGTGATATACGACCGAGTGACCTAGAAACACGACAGAGTCTTGATCAGTTTTGGGCACGTCCAACGAGAGACGATTACGCCATTGTCATAATTATGACAAAAGGATGTATCGACTCTGCGCGTCAAGAGACTTCGTGACGCACGATTCATTTTTATTTATTTTTTTTTTTTTTCATTTAGATATGATATATAAAGGTATCTCATTATCTTTTATAAAGTTAGGTGGTGCAACAGGTGTACTGTTTACGCATGAATATTTCTTTACAATCTCTTCGCAAATGAAACAATTACGCTTTTAATGATATAAATTGATTGAAATATTTGAA